TAAAAAATTAAACAAAGCAAAGTCTCTGTCCTGGTGTCACTCTCAACGCATCGGCATAGAATTACCTGGATATTATCCAGGAGAAGATTCGGTTACATTACTCTTTAAGATTGCAGGTGCAACGAGTCAGCAACTTGGCTAGCAAATTCCGAGCACATAAAAATGCTGCTAACACATCAAACACTCAAATTCAATATAGCCTTCACAGCTCAAGCTCAAGATTGAGCTATTTGTCACTGCTGAATCCAAACAGTGACTGCTGTAAGTGAGTTTCCGCTGCAACTGGCCCATTAACTGACATTTGACAGCTGATAAACGAAAATAGAGAGAAAATAAAGGCAAAAAGGAAGCAAAATGTTTCAAAATATGCATACTTAATATGCCAAATTGAATATATATGTAGGAGTATGCTACTTCTTAATATTCAGTTGTCGCATCTTGCAATATGCAACAGAATGTTGCAACAGTATTGGCATTTAACAGGACGGGATTTGGCTTCCATTTGGCCGTTGCACAAATATTTGTCAGCCATGTCCTAGGATTTGTTGCCCTGCCTTGGACTTTGACATTTTTCATTTATCCTTTTGCAGCCAGTGGTTGTTGTTGTTGCTGCTGTCGTTGTTGCTGTTGTTGTTGTTGTTGTTGTTGTTGTTGTTGGCTGTTGATTTTGCTTGTTCGCCCAATAACCCCATTTAAACTTATGACAGCCGGAGCCAAATGAAACTTTGCTCTTTTGCTTTAGCTCAATAACACTCGACATGAGCAAACAAAAATGTTGCCATTAGTTAAAGTTGGCTTACTTTAGCCCATTCCCACGGCCATTTCCTTCCGTTTGCCTTTTCTTCAGCTTTTTTCTTCGCCTCCTCCATCTCCATCTCCTTTTCCCTCGTCTTGCTCTTCCTCTTCCTCCTCTTCAGCTACTTTGGGTCGAACCGAGTGCCATAATAAGTTTGGAGCGCAACTTTGCACAGTTTTTGAAGTGCAGCTAATAAGAAATTCGTGAAGTGTTGCTCCAGCGTGTCGGCCAAGTGTATTGAGTGTATGTGTATATATATATTTATATATGTATGGATGTGTGTGTGTGTGCATGGGGGTGTGTGTAAATATTTATTTTGAAACTCGTCAAGTTTTGCGTGCGATTGGAATTGAAATTGGGCTTTGCCCAGGACTCGTTATCCAACTCAGCATTCAGGCATGTGCACGTTGCTCGTTTGGTCAGCGCTCAGCTCAAACCATTTCAAATACCCATTGAAAAATGTTGCCAGGCTTAGGACACATATCAGGGAATGAAGATAAACAATGTGAGTTCTGAGTCGTAAGTCTTCAAACAACAAAAATTACTTTAACTTAGCGAGCCCTGACTGAGCTCAGCTAAGCCTGAACCAGCTAAAGAGCTCACATATAGTTTGACAATGATGATAGGGCATATCTAAGTCTTATCTAAGTCTGCCAATTTTCCCAGCAATTTTGATAGATGGTATATGTAAGTAGAGTTCGCCTGGCTCCTGCACTGTTACGTGTTAGATTCACTTAGTTTGAGTTTCTTAGCCAATTGAATGCGAACAAAAAATGATGCTTGCGCTACATTCAATGAGCTCACGTCTCTGCTGCTGCTTTTCGATGGTCTGTAAGGGTATAATTACTGGCACAAGTTTCGCATAGCACACATATGCCAATCAAATTTAATGATTACACTACAAAGGAAAACTCTTGGCAAACACTTCTCGAGCAGGTGTTGAGGTGAAAAAACATTGACTTCTTTTGAGTTTAATCTAAGGGCATGCTGTGCGCACTTGGCTTTATAGAATATGGACTCAATTGGTTTAGTTCTAGAATTTAGCAGCTTCACAGCTGTACTAAGGTATGTGGCTCTATACTATCTGAACGAAAATATATGTAAAATGTAACGGACATTGGAAAAGTAATCTATCACAGTCGAGTCTCGATAGTACATAATTTAGCAATCGAAAATCGTAATAAATCGAAAACAATTTTATCCCCTTGACAGAAATTCGTTCTCAATAATTCTTGTTAATTTGAATTTCTGTGTAAATCGAAAGAAAAAACAAGTAAGACGGCTCCAGTCGAGACTGCTCGACTAGGAGATACCCTGAACCCTCCAAGCTAATATTCTAATCATTCTGGACTTCTTCTATGTACACATACATACACATGCACTTATAAGCACGCGCTCTGCTGACTGCGCAGTTAGCAGTGGCTGCGCTTGGGCTGCGCAGCAATGTGAGGAATATTATGAGATATTATTTGTTAAATAATTTCTTTTGTAGACGTATGATCGTAATGAAACTTTTAGAGCGTAATCATATGGTTAAAATGCGTGTACATTCCAAAGCACAAGTCGTGGCGTGGTATCCAAAATCTGTAAATTACAAAATCTTTGTATCCATTAACTTTATATACAACGCAAATCGATGCAACTGATGTTAACTTTTTTAATTGTTTCGAAATATTTTTATATTTTATTAAATGAGTTTTGNATATAAATTTTACATATTTACCCTTTCATTAGACTTTCATTTATGCAGATCCATATCTATTTAATCCTAGTCTAGTTAATGAAATTAATGTTGACTGCAAATCGGGCTAGCACTGACTTTTCTATCATCATTTGCAATCCAAACAGGCCTAGGTTTTTAAATCAAACATGACAGCCATATACATCTATGGTGTGTGTATTTGAGTCTTTCACACGTTCGTGTGCTTTGTTGAAACAGTTTCAATTAATTGTGTTTTTTTTTTGTTGTTCATTTATTGAGTATAGTGTGCGACGCAAGGGGAATCAGTCATACAGTTCGTTTTTAAGAACAGAAATAATATTGTTCGAGTGTTGTGATAATCCTAAAATCAAAAGCAACAAATTTGAATTTGGAGCAAAGTACAGAGGAACACAAAAACGGCAATTGAGATCAAGTTAATCGCAGGCAAAGGTAGGTAAGTAACGAATCGATGTCTATCCTTGTCGCCATCGTGAATGGTGTAGGCTGGTGTCAATTGTTTCGTCATTTTGTGTGTCTTCGCAGAGTTCAAAGAAAGCATACAAAATGTATCCATCTAACTTTTACAAGATGAAAAACTTTGCCAATCCAAAGACCATGTTTAAGTCGTGCTCTAACAACGACGAGTTCTCCACGACGCCAGTGCAGAGCTGCTCGCCAGCGACCAAGAAGGCCAACAAGCCGAGCTCGGTCAGCGGCCGCAGCGGCAGCGGCAGCAGTAGCAGCGCTAGTTATAAGAGCGTGATGAATGCAACTTGCTGCAGTGGTGGTAGTAGCGTTTGCTCACCGCTATCCACACCTCGCTCCGATCTGAGTGGAGGCACCACAGATGGCGGCTATATGACCCCATTGGCGCCCCTAGATCCAGTTGGCACGGATACAGTCAGCTTTGGTGTGGCTAGCGGCAGTGAGGCAGAGCAAGCAGAGCCAACGGAGCCGCATCATCCTCTAAACAGTGAATGGACGCTGTGGTATTTGGAGACAGATCGCAGCAAGAGCTGGGAGGAGATGCTGCACGAAGTGGCCAGCTTTAACACGGTCGAGAATTTCTGGAGTCTCATAAATCACATTAAGACGCCATCAGAGATTAAAATGGGCAGCGACTATTGTCTGTTCAAGAAGGGAATACGCCCAATGTGGGAGGATGAAGCTAACGTTAAGGGCGGGCGCTGGGTAATCACCCTTAACAAGGGAAACAAAAATGATTTGGATAACTTCTGGCTGGACACGATGCTTGTCTTGATCGGTGAAAGCTGTGAATATTCGCATGAGCTGTGCGGCGCTGTCGTCAATATACGAGGCAAGAACAACAAGATCTCCATTTGGACAGCCAATGGCAACAATGAGGCAGCTGCTCTCGAGATTGGCGGCAAGCTGCGCGACGGCCTGCGCATGGAGAGCGCATATGTGCTTCAATATCAACTGCACAAGGACACCATGGCCAAGCAGGGATCGTTGGTCAAAACTATCTATACGCGCTGATTATTTGGCCCCGTATCACACGCTGGCTACAAAACAATAACCTACCCCCACCCTTCTCCCAAAAAAAAAAATCAAGAAAAAAGCAAAAAAAAAAAAAAAAAATGAAAAAATTCAAATCATAGGTACCGCAAACATACTACATTTCTATTGTCCAAATGGATGTCAGTCCTTCTAGCAATGAAAATTATATCAATTGGAGAATTAATGAAAATGCAACCCAAAGAAAAATACAACAACTGAAGTGCTCAATATACAAACCCAAATCGTCAGTCTGATAAAAAGGCAAATACCAATTCCGAATGACGGCGACTAAATTCCCAGTCCATATCCGAAGTTCCGAGTCCATTTGAAATTTAACCATTAAGATGCTCAAACATAAATTCAAAATTGTATAAATTCCATGTCAATCGAAGCAAATCTATGTCAAGTGCATATTGGTGACAAGAAAACTACGAAATGCAAGAAATAAATAAAAAAAATCATTGCAAAATCATTCACCTTTGTTATTCATATTCTATACCAGATTATACCTCTTAGAAAGTGCCCATGTAGGCATATATATACATGAAGTATTTGCATCTGTACTACAGAATTTCCTGGATCGCCTGGCTTCCTGGGAATTGTTATACTCATTCATGAAAGTGAAATGAGTATATTGGCTTTGTGCATGTCCCACAATTTTAGCAGATAATTTTTTTTTTTTGCATGTTTCTTCGAACTGCTTCGAATTAGTGAAATACTTTTTACAATACAGTTGATTGACAACCAACGTCAATTATTCAGGCACGTACCGCCATATTGACCACGAAAAACTATTAAGACTTCTATTAACACCTTATCTTAAGCACACGTTGCTTAAATTTCAAACATAGTATGGAGCCATTCATATCAAGTTGCTGTTGTCATTACTTAATTGCTTTTGCAGAATAAGTTTGCCTATGGAGCTTATAGAAATATAATATTATGAAACTCATCGTCTCCTATGAAGCCTATAGAAAACGTATGAAACCCATCGTGACCCATATAACTTTCCCTTTCATGACTATTTAAGTCTCTGGCCTGCAATTCTGACTGTGAATATTTTTGTAGATATCGATAAGATATTCCGCATGGAATATTATCAACAATCTGATAAATATAACAATGAGTCTAATGCGTAGCTGTGCTTTTCAAATGTATTTCAATTATTATAAAAGTATTCAATTAAAATAACCCAATTTCTGGACCTGATCAACCATGGCAGTAATCGAGTCCAAGAGCTCCTCGCTGGTAGGAAGAATTTGGGATGGGGGCAACAAGAAACCACTTGAATCATGTGCGGCTGCAGGACGCAGCTCATAGCAGAAAGTCATTCGCACACCCTGGGTGCCATATACCCAATCAAGAGTGGATCCAGATACAAGACTGGCAAAATTATAGATGCTCTTAGCTTCATACTTCGTATTATAGCGCTTTGAAATGGCAGAGAGAGCTGCTTTGGCCACTTGTTGGTAGTCCTTAATATTGTCAGGTGGCGATGCGGTGTAACCATTAGGATATATGAGAACCTGGGAAAAGGAATGAAACGAAAGGTAAAGCTGAATCTTGTCCTTTATCGAAGCAATGTAGTTCGACAGTGATAAAGTCTCAATTTCAGAGAATGCGTTGGGTCCAGCGTATTCGTCATTACAGGGTTGGTTGTTTAAATCCCATTTATTCCAGTAGAAGTCCCAGTTGCGGTTGGGATCGGCTCCAAAGCAAACGCCATAGGGTTTGCGGGTCTTGCGCCAAATGCGATCCGATTTCCGACTGTAGACATAGCCGTCGGCATTGACATGTGGGACGATGTACCAGTTGTAGTTGTCGCCAAGCTGCTTAATAGAAGGCACATTTGACGTGAGTAGCTGATTAATGATGTAGGTAGCTGCCGCTGGAGCGATCCACTCTCGAGCATGAATACCAGCCTCGATGAAGATTCCAGGTTTCTCGCGGCCACTCTTGAAAATCTTCAAGCCCAACATAGAGCGTCCCTCATATGTTTTACCAGCCTCAATCAGTGTAACAATGTTTGGGTTTTGCTTGGCCAATGATCGCATCCAGGCATAGGTGTCCTCCAAGTCGTTGTAGTCAAACCAGTTGTATTCAGAGCTGGCATTACTCCTAGGTCTGACCTCTCCTTCAATATCATCCATTGACTTTTGGAAGTCCTTGGACTGCAGTTCATATTTAATCTTAGCTTTACCCAGTATCTCCAGTAAATCAGGAATTTTGTGTGGGGCAACAACCATATGGACATCAGCTCCGACGACATGAGCACTGTTCAGAAATATGATGGAGTCCGAAGATACCTTCAGATCTCTTAGCATCGCCAGTTGGTCTTCATTCTCTGGAGTGGCCTTGTACAGACGATAATTGTCGTAGCGAATGCGTTCGGCGTGACTCAATCCAAACGTGGCCAAAAGGACCAGCCCAGCCAAAAGAAGCCACCTGTTCAGCGACATCGTTGCCGATATTATGAAGCACTACAATTCATGTGCTGAGCTTATAAAGGGTTTCTCTTTGAATTTCTGTTCAATAAATATTTTGCTGATAAGTCCAAATTTATAGTCCTTGTGAATGTTAAAATAATTCAAAATAAGTAAAAATAATTACAAAAATAATCTACGTAAGTAATTGGAGAGAAAACCGCATTTGCAAGGAATTCAATTAAAATTCCTCTAGTTTCTAATCTAGTCATGAAGAAGAAGAAAGTTTACAGTAAACAAATGTTACAAATATTTATTTATATAAAGAGATATCTTTTCGATCATAGGGTGTTCAGACTTTAAGATTCAAAATGTAACAAAAAGAGAGAAATATCGGTATCTGTATCTGTATCTGTATCTGTATCTGTATCTGTATCTGTATCTGTATCTGTATCTGTATCTGTATCTGTATCTGTATCTGTATCTGTATCTGTATCTGTATCTGTATCTGTATCTGTATCTGTATCTGTATCTGTACCTGTACCCGTACCTGTACCTGTACCTGTACCTGTACCTGTACCTGTACCTGTACCTGTACCTGTACCTGTACCTGTACCTGTACCTGTACCTGTACCTGTACCTGTATCTGTATCTGTATCTGTATCTGTATCTGTATCTGTATCTGTATCTGTATCTGTATCTGTATCTGTATCTGTATCTGTATCTGCATCTGCATCTGCATCTGCATCTGCATCTGCATCTGCATCTGCATCTGCATCTGCATCTGCATCTGCATCTGCATCTGCATCTGCATCTGTATCTGTATCTGTATCTGTATCTGCATATCTATACCTGTGTCGATATCTCAATATCTACCTCTATCTATTTATTTTATATTTAAAGTACCTATATTCTCGTATATTTCTAGAAGTAATGAAACCTTTTTGTTCTTCTACTGTCCTAACATGAACTACTTTCATTAAATGATACAGATCATTCCGTATGCAACTTGTGTTCGCTCTATTCTTTGTTCTGTCATTAAATGAGGAATGCTCCCCACACTTTTGTTTAAATGGAGGCAGTGCATCTGCCTGCACATGCAAGCCAATACATGTTAATACTCACATGGCCTGCCGCTTGGCTCGCTTTAGCTGTGTTTTTTTTTTTTTTTTTTTTTTTTTTTTTTTTTTTTTTTTGGTTATTTGGACTGCTTGAAACGGCTCGGGGCCACGTCGTTAGTTGGACTTATTTGGCGCACGGCGTCGCAAAAGTTGGCCCCGCTCAATTGTTTGATTTATTGACGTTTATTGGCAGTTGGCATTTTATTGTGACTATTTTTGTTACCGCATAGAACTGCGCGTCTGGCGCGACGGGATCGGGTCAGGTGGTAGCCACCGTCGCCACATGGTTTCTTCTGTATACGCTTCTGTGGACCCCAAACTCCGCCGTCTCCTTTTCCGCCGCTGGCTTCGGCTATTGGCACTGGAGCAGCGGCGACGTGACGGCCACGGGTCACCCACAAGCCGTTGACCACTTCGCTTCTATTTGATTGCTTTTTTTCCCTCACTCTCCGTATAGATTTGGTTGGGCTTGTTTTGTGCGCTTTGTTCGCTGAATAGCGAATTGTGTTACATATATATACGAAGCAATTGTGCAACATTTCCATAAAAGATTGCCCAACAGTTATTGTTGTTAATGGTATTTAATCCTGTTAACTGTCAAATACACATTAGCCAACTCTCGACCACCTTTGACTTTAATCAACAGCCTTGTAGAATGCAAACGATATCGCATTTCAGCCAAATGCTCAACTTATAGCACTGGCCAACAGGAGTGAGCAACCAGCGAGGCCTGATTGAATTGGTTATGCTGAAATAATGATATTGAAAGCTTTTAGTTAGATTATGGAGAAGAGAACATGCGAGACAAGAAAAAAAAGAGTAGAGCCAAGAAAGAAGAGGGCAGAGGGAGGAGGGAAAAGTGTCGAGTGAAAGCGAAAAAACGATTGGAAAGAGGGAAGATGCATAAGGCATGAGGGAAGGACGAAAGAATAGGAGGAAAATATCAAAACAGGAGAAGAGAAGATAAAATAAAAGATATTAGATGAAGGAATACAGAATAGAAAAGTAGAGAACATAAAAAACTAGGAAAGAAGAGAAGAGAAACCCGAAGATTAAAAATTGATGCAACAAACTTAATAAATATTTATGTATTTTAATCTAAAAAATTTCGTTTCACAAATTTTCTTTGCCAAACGATTTCAGATATGCAAACAGATTTATAAATATACATATATATTTTCTCGTATTATTAGCCATTATAGGCTGGCAGTGTGGCCCCCTCAACATCCACACCGGCTCGGTCAAAGGTCAAGGCGCAACGCCTTGTGTATCGCTGTATCTGAGCCATAAATACTATATGAAAGCTTCTATGTTTGGGGCCAGCTAGCAACATATTTGGCGTTGATTTATGGCATTTAATTTCATTTTATTGCATACGCAGGGGGTGGCAGTAAATTAGTTGTAATTGCGTCCTTGTCCAAAGAAAATAGAAAAAAAAAAGAAAAAAAAAAACCTGCAACAAAATTGATTAAAAATACTTTAATCCAAATGCCAAATTGTATGGCTTCACGCTGAATGGCCAAATGTGTTAGATCTAACAGGGCAAACGACAAACGATTTCAATATTTCATGCACGTATGCACACAGGCCCTACTCATTCGGAATACTTGATAGTAGTTAGTAATTCAGTTACCTCTCACCTAGAGACAAATATGAAACAAAGTGACTTCAGACAGAAATATCAAGCATTTGTGATTGTGAAGGGAGCTTTAAAGAGCGATGGAATGCGAAGTTAGCTTGTCACATTTCTGAAAATAATGCTACATATATATATTAAGGAGAGTCGAAAAAAGACATCAGGCTTCTAAATAAATGCAGAGTTCAAAAGTAAAATTAAGCAAATGCTTTGTAGATATAACTAAATACTTTTTACGATCAGCACTATAAAAATATAAATACATACGCATATATAAGTATATGTAAATATATATATATTTGTGAATATATATTTACATATATCCTAACATATATTAGAAGCTGCGACGTCAATTTTAGCGAGCGGTAAAATCGAAAAATATGCAAAACAGCGCAGACAAAAAGGTGCAAAATGAACACACAAAAAAAAAATAAATAAATAAAAAATAGAGGAATGGAAAGAAGAAAAGCAAACGAGAAGAGCAAACCAACGCCGGTGCCTCCATCGTCTTCCCCTCCTCTCCCACAATTTGAGCAATTGGCAATGGCACATCCGCACGGAAAATTTACCTGTACAACTACACCCCAGACAGTCAGCTAGCGGGTCAGGTGGCTGGCGGCCCCACAGGTAGCATTTGTGCTGTAAAACGTCGATTTACATGCGTGTTATATCCTGCCTGGACGAGCTGGAGCTGAAGTGCGGGAGGATGCAGTGTAGGAGGTGGAAGGGAACGCTTCTGTTGGCAGTGGGAGGTAACTTACACGGCGCTGATGCTCAACGTATTTCAATTTATTTATTTTTATTTGCGTATGCAAAATAGTCGGCTTGATTTTGGTTAACACACACGCGCACACACACTCAAGTACTCACAGCTTGAAAGTGCTTTTCCATTTGCGATAGAGCTATGCGTGGGCGCAAGTTAGAGCGTTGCAAAAGGGTAAAAGTATTTACTGCCTTAAAGCTGCAGCATTGAGGTTTAAAGTATACATTGACCGAGTGTATTAGATTTATATAATATTATGTAAATATATGTATTGATATCATTGGAGCTCAAGCCATCCGGTTATTGTTAATTATTGGAAGTATTGTTTAGTATAAGAGAGATTGCAAATACAAACAAAATACAAATTTTAAAAATATATGTAAATATAAATACTCGCATTAATAATAAAAAGCAGCAGATGAATATGTTTTCATCAGTGGAAGGTGAAAAGAGAGCTCCTTTAAAATATACAGTGAAACGAGACTGTCAAAAAAGCTGTAGGATATATAGTTTTTATAAGAAAAATGTTTTATTGAAAAATTAAATATACATATAATATAGAAGACTTTAACAGAGGCATAAGCATAAGCTGGAGGTCCTTTAGGAGCAAGTCCTATAACGCTATGCTGTTTTTAGTATAAGCTTTCATTTTTATTTAAATTAAAAAA